ATTTTTTTTATGAAATGCTTTAATTCCAGCATTTTTAAGTACTTTTTTGATATAAGAACGAGAAGTCTTAAATTTTCTTGCTAGATCTCGCTGTGACTGATTTGGATTTCTTGCTATTGAACGTAAAATCGACTTTACCTTTTTGGATTTATGGAAAGTTTTTTTTCTTCCACTTCCAAGTTTTCTTTCGAAGCTTTGAGTAGTCTTGAACTTGTTTGCAATATCTATGACTGTAGATTTTGGGACATTTTTGCGTTTAGAAATCAAGGGATAGGAAGTTGATGATTTTTGCAAAAAAAATTCACAACTTTTTTACGCACCTTAACTTGTTTCCAAAACAATTTGCAAATCATTAATTTGTAAACAAAAATTTATCAACACTATTTAAGATAAGGAAGTAAGGTTTAATTAAAAAAAAAAAATAAATAAAAAGCATTTGTGGTTTTGGAGAAATCTCAATTTAAAGATGACCGGATTTTTCCATGTCTACCCGATAACATGATGTCATAACAATTTGTTTTATTTTGTTATCAGTTTTATTTTTAATCAAAAACTGTGATCAATGTGATGTAATTATGATAATAATTACATCACATTGATCACAGTTTTTGATTAAAAATAAAACTGATATTATTATTATTATATGATAACAAACATTTCAATAGTTTTGAAATGTTTGTTATCATATATTATATGATAACAAACATATTGAAAAGTTTGTTATCATATTATATGATAACAAACATTTCAATAGTTTTGAAATGTTTGTTATCATATAATAATAATATTTTGATCTCATAGTATCATAACCACAGTTTTTTTAAGTTCAAACACATTTATTTAACTGTGGTTGTGATAGTGAGATAATTTTTTGATATTGAAGCATGAAATGTTTTTAATATAGTAATATTACACTGATCTTTTGTGTTATCTGGGAAGGCTGTTAAATTTAAAAATAAAATGGTTTATATGCTGTAAAATTTAAAAATAACTATTATGGATCCATAAAAAATACTTGTTCGCACATTAAAACACAGTACCATGTTTATTTCTGAAACATTGTCAAGCTAATAAGGTTTTGTTTGGATAGGTTACAGGACATCAACTTTAGTGATAAATCTTACTCTTTTACCCATCTGTCCTGTCTTCTGTGAAAATATTTTCATATGCTAAGATAACTTTGATATACATCTTATGTGTGGCAACACCAAGTTGGTTTGTTCATTTGTTTACCAAATACTCTCAGTTGCTTTTAATGGTCATGCAACGAGTCAAAGGTGGCTTAAAAAATTCATTCCATTCAATAAGATCCTTAGGATAACTTGCCTTTGAGTTGATACCTGGTATCTTTCATGGTCTAGCAATTAGATTTCCTGTTTGTATTTTTTATCATTATCTCCTCTTGTTTCAAGAATTTTGTTTACACTGAATCTTCTCTTTTCTTTATTCTCAAAACTTCAAATATCTGACCCTCGCCACCTATCCAGGGATAAACTTCAAATATCTGACCCTTGCCACCTATCCAGGAAACTCCACACATTAGCGCACCAATTAATCCTTAAGGCGTACCATCATGAAATCATCAACAGAAACATTACTAAAGCCTTGCTACACACAGAAAGTTGGTGAGGGTCAGAAAGGTGGCGAGGGTCAGAAAATTGGAGAGGATCAGAAAGTTGGCGAGAGTCAGAAAGTTGGCAAGGGTCAGAAAGTTGGCAAGGGTCAGAAAGTTGGCGAGGGTCAGATAAATTTGAAGAGTTACAATAGTTTTTTCTGTTTAATTGTTTCTCTCAGAAAAACATTTTAGGACTATTACATTATCAATTTAACTGCTCATAATTTTTTTAAAAGTAATAACCTAGACAGTAACCATTTTTCTTTTTTGTTCCAGCAGCCATTTTGAATTTAATAATCTTTTTTATATTTATAAGTTAAATGAGAAATTTAAATATATTATAATTTATGTTTTAGATTAATTAATAATTCATCTATATTGACCACAAATCCTGGTAAACTCTATTAATCTCATATAACAAATAAAGTATAGATTAAGAACTGACAATACAATACAGGAAACAAAGGACAATCCTGGCTCCATCTCTTTTCATTCATTGAGTCTTTTTATTTTCATGAAAATCCAGTTCTTAATTTATTACCCCATTGTAAAACATGTAAAAATTTAGAAAAACAACAACTACAGACAATATATAAAAAACCTGTAAATTTAAAATCTACAGCTTTTTTATATACTTCAGACAAAAATCAAAAAACTTGCATAATAACTTGTATATTCCAAAAAAATATTTATAAATGAAATTGACTATGTTGAAGACTAGGCATTTGCGTAGCGATCTAATACAAGAGTACAAATTGTTGAACAATATATATCATGTTACATGGCTGAAACCACAACAATTTGCACCATCATTACAAGCAAGCGGTTCAGCATCAGCAATAAAAGGTCATGATCTGAGAAAATTTCAAGCATTCTGTTTTGACAAGCCTTCTTTACTAACCGTATTGCAAATGAATAAAATGCAATTCATGTGGTGAATGCGCAGTCTTTGAACTTTTTCAAAGCAAGACTTGATAGATTTTTATTATAAATTTTGTATTTAATGTATATAATTTCGATTTTTAACAAATTGTAAATTATTATGAATAAAGTAAAGAGTGTAGGCTGTCATAACACATATACAACCATATACGTGTTTTGCAATTGAACCCCTCCAGCATCTAAATTACTATTACTATTACTAAAGTTATAAATAGTTTATTAAGAACTTTAGAAATGAACTGATAAAATCTATAAGTTTAATATACATAGTAAACTTCACAAAAACTTAAAAGTATTCCCTTTATGAAATGTCAGTTAAACTATTAAGTATAATATACTTATCTACTTATCTACTTAAAATAATTTGATACAGCAGAGAAAATAGAATTAGCCTCACCTTTATTTTTCGCTTTAATTTAACGAAAATGGCAGTAAAACAATTATTAAATCTACTTTATTTCTTATTATCTTCTGTTACAACTAAAAAGTTTATAAATTAATATGTTTTATTAATTACTAAATAGAAAAAAAAAATAAAAGTATTCAATTTGTGGAGAAAATAGATGTAGCCTCATTTACGTTATATACAAGAAAATATTTTGTTTTTTTATGCTCATTTAATATTTAGTATTGCTTCCTAAATTTTTAATAACTTCAAATATGCAATTGACTTACTAGTTACAAGAGTTTGGATCTTTCATTCCAAGCTCTCTGATACGTGTTTTCAGCTCCAAGGTGGATTCAAATTGCTTACCATTTTTATAAACCTTAGTATTCCCGATAGATTTTCAATTGGGTTAGAATCTAGGCTACATGTGGGCCATTCCATTACATGAATATTTTTTTCTCTAAACCAAGCTTTTGTAAGCTTTGAATTATGGATAGAAGCATTATCTTGTTGAAAAGTGAAATTTTCACCCATCAATTCTTCACCATGTTCAAGCAAACTTATTTCTAATAAGCCAAGTAGTTCTTTAAATTCATTTATGTTGAAATTCATGCCAGTGGAAGTTTTCCAGCAAAGGAAAAAGCCCCCCAAACCATAACAGTTCCACCACCAAAGTTATGACTCATCCAAGTTTCTTTCTCTTTTCGAAGATCGTGCCAGTAATATTGATAGCCATCAGGACCATCTAGATTGAACTTTTTTTCATCACTAGATGCCACTCTTCCTCACTAAAGAGAACTTGATGCCACTCTTCCCGCCAAGACATTTGTTCTTTTGCAAATTGTAATCTAATTTCTTTGTAACAAGCAGTAAGTTTTGGTTTTGTTTTACGTTTTTTCCAAACTGTGTTTGGATCTTCATGTAAGATTTGTCTCACACATTGAACAGATACAGGTAATTGTAAATCAGCACGAATTTGAGATGCAGTCATGTGCTGTGCAGCAGCAGGGCGTACAATAATTCGTTTAGTATGAATATCAATTTTGCGTTTGCCACTACTTCCCTTATAAGCTCCATACTTAACTCCAATCTTGAAGTAATTGTTAATCACTTTTAGAGATCTTTTAATTGTCTTTGCAATTTTCCAATTAGATACACCTGTATGTTTGTATGCTTTGATTACTGCTAATTCTTCATTCGTTAAACGCTTATCACGTCCCATTTTATATTAAGGTATCAAAAACCAAATGTTAAAAACTTTATGAACACTGATTTCACAGTCTTTGTTTAACTTACAAATAATAATAAAAAACTAAGTCACAAATGTGTATCACCAGATCAAAATATATAAGTAAACTTAAAATAATTGTTGATGAGGCTAATTCTATTTTTTACCACAAATATCAAGAGTTATACATTTTATGGTTTTTTCAAATGTACTGCAATTTAATTATGCTATATTATAATCTAAAAAGTTATTGTTTGTAACAATAATTATATGTGTGTAGATACAAAGGATGCACCGCATACATACATGCATACATACATGCATACATACATGCATACATGCATACCTACATACATGAATACATGCATGAATGCATACATACATACATACATACATACATACATACATACATACATACATACATACATACATACATACATACATACATACATACATACATACATACATACATACATACATACATACATACATACATATATGCATACATACATACATACATACATACATATATGCATACATACATACATACATACATACATACATACATACATACATACATACATATATAAAAATATCTCTCTCTCTATATATATATATATACATACATATATATATATATATATATATATATATATATATATATATATATATATATATATATATATATATATATATATATATATATATATATATATATATATATATATATATATATATATATACATTTGGTATATACATACATTTAGTTTATTTAGATCATAGATTGAAAGTATTAAATCCTATAAAAATATTTGTTGTTGTTGTAGTCATACAATGATGCATTTAAAAGAATACAGACTACAACAGGAATAGATGATCTTCAACTTTTAGTTGGAAAATTTATTGCTACAGAAGACAGCAACTTTGCTCTGTTCAATTATGTAACTGAAATGAACAATGAAATTGAGATGAAACAAGAAAATATTTCTGAAATTAAAAGTAATATTGAACAGTTACGTTCAGAAAGTGAGAAACTGGATAAACAAAGGATGAATGTAATAGATGAAATAAATGTATGTTTTTATATTTTTTTGTATCATAATATAACATTATACTATTGAATGATCAACATAATTATAGATAAATAAAAGCTAATAAAAACAAAATAAAAGGTAAAACAATTTTGATCGGAAGAATAAAAAATTGATTTCTTTTTATGTTGAATTTCTTAAAAAAAGTTATTTTTTAATTTTTATTTATTGCTATAACTTTTTTTAATTATTTAACATTTTGTTTGTCGTTTGGATACTTGTTACTTATAGACAAAAAATACCTAATACTTAGATCACCAATATTAGAATATCAGAATATCTCACTTTATATAGTAATATCAAATCAATAGATTTATTTTAAACATACTGACTAAACAGATTTGTTTCTAACAGTAGCATCAATATTTTTTATTATACCAACATCAAGCTTGAACTTTTATTTGGTTATATTGTTGCAAATAATATGTTAATATTAATGAAATTTTATGTTTTCAAAATTACTTTTTTTCTTTCAAATTCAAGCTTAAAATCTTGTTTGTTAATTTTTATTGTTGTTATTATCATTTAAGTTATTATTATCATTTGATTATTAAGAAAATGATTGCTGATTATGAAAAAGAAACAAAGCGCACTGATGAAAAATTTGATTCTTTTTATGCAATTGTTGAAAATTTAACTCAAGGTATATTTATATTTCAATTATTGAAAATTTAACTCAAGGTATATTTATATTTCAGTTATTGAAAATTTAATACAGGGTATATTTATATTTATTGAAAATTTAACTCAGGGTATATTTATATTTCAATCTGTATTTTTATTGCTTTTTTTATTTCAAAATAGTTTTTAAATGTTTATTTATTACAAAGTCTTTTATTTATCAGGTTTTAAATTTAGGTGTGAACTCTTTATTTAAAAGAGCAAATTGTGATGCCTCTGCTATTGGTAACTTGTTAAGTGGACAGGGTGGAGCTCCGCATTCTAATATCATGCAAGTCAGTATATATAATTGATTAGGGACCACTTAAAACTATTTTTTTGGATGAAAGTAAAGTTTAATTTAAACTCTAGTCTTGAAGCTAAAGCATTTTGATATTAACTTATGAAAATTTTCCTCATTTAAGATATCAACTTTTAAGTAAACACTGTGCTCTTCTAAGACCGTAAGAGTAAATTTTAGTTAACTCAAATTTTTTTTTGCTTAATTGACCACTAGTGTAAATTTTACTTAAATTTTATTTAATAGATGTCTTCACAGTTTTGATAATTTCACGCACGCATATTTAATATTACATCATGGTTTTTTATACGCAGAATCACATGAAAACAAGTAAATACACATACAAATCAAGATAAAAGTTTTGAAAGAAACAGTTGTTTACTTTGTATTTTTTTTTTTTTTCATAAAAGGTTTAGCTTTATTAGGGTGGTTCAAATTTAGGTCAAAAAATTTTTACGACTAGAGTGGAAGTTTATAAGGTGCACAGACCCTTGTTTTATATATAGGATTTTTTTTTTTTTTTTGAAGTTTAAGGGTGGCACATGGCCCAAAAGTACTTTTTTTTTTTACCCTTTTTTGACGTTTTTTGACCCACGTGTGCCACCCTTAAACATTATTAAATTCAAATTTTTTTTTTACATATCCTTACAAGAACCTATATAATAAAATAAAAAGGCACTCTATTTGTATTATTACTTTTCAACACTGAAAAACTTATAGAAAAGTCGCTAAATATTGACAAAAAAACGATTTTTTTTATTTCAGTGATCGCGGTAGCTTTCATTGCTGCTTGTGATAAATAACATGTAGACATGGAAAAAACTTCAAAACTACGTATACCTATACTTATATCAAATTGTGATGCTTTAAAAAAATTCCAGTGATCGGAGCCTGAGATCTAAAAAAACCGTAAAACTTAGCACCCCCCACCCTACCCTACCCTAATGGTGAGGGCAATAAGTTGTCTAAATTTATACTATTGTTATTCTGAACTAAATTTACATTTATCGACAGATTTCATATTTCATTTAATATTATTGTAGCGTTCAAAAGTTATGACCATGTAAAGTTGCCACCAACCCCAAAAAGAGGAAGTTAAAAGCTCAACGTATAGTTCTATGGTATTTTTATTACAAAATCTAGTTTAATGTATTACATAATTTTTGAGGTTAAACTTAGAGATGAATCTAGATGAAGTTGGATTACCACTCCTCTAATAATATAACTTTATTACGAGTTGCAGGTAGAGAAATGGGAATAAATAAAAATAAAGTTAACGTAATTTTAAACTTTGATTAAATAACCAACAATCAGCATTTTAAAATACTACTAATTACATTTGATGTTAAATCTTTTTTCTTTGTCTTTTTTTTATTTCTTTTGTAAACATGGTTTAACAAGAACAAATTTTGTCTTTTCTTCTATTTCATTGATTTTCCAATCAGCTTTTTTACTAGATTTATGGTCCTCTCTGACGAATCAGTAACCACATCTAGAGATTTAATAGTAGATTCAAACTCAAGATAAAAATCGTTAAACTTCCAAAACTGCAAGGGGATCTTTAGCCACTGCAACTCACCCTTTCCATGTTCCATCTTATCAAAGATGAGCCAAGATTGCTCAGTTATTAGAGAACAAAGAGATGGAGGCTGATCTTGTGAAAAGTCTAGAGAGTGAAGAACCTCTTTATTGACCATAACACGTTCAAGTGGATACACTATTGGTTTGATGGGAAGTTTATTGTATAATAAATATCTTCTCTGTTTGGGCAATGTTTATCTGCTAATGCGAGCACAACTAAGGCAGGATCAAGGTACCAGCTGTGTCTGTCAAATGATTTTATTGCTAAAGTAGCTCCAAGAAGATTTATATTCATGAACCTCTTCATCTGCCACAGAGCTTTGATATCCTAAAAATATGTTTAACATTATTAGATTAAGTCATCAATTGGAAAATTAACCCATCATTTTTTACGCTTTTTTTCTTATTTATAATGATTATTTTTAACCTGATATGGCGCAGCAGTTGCCGATACTGCTCTAAGAAACCATTGAGTGTAAAAGATACCGACAAACATAGCCATTTCACGAATCTCTTCTTTATTTTCTTCTGATAAACTTGGAATAGCTTCCAATAGTAAATACATTTTAAGATAATACAACGCTTTTGACATGAATCTTGCATAATGTATTGGACCAGGAATATGAAATTTGAACCTATCTTTTTGAGAAACTACCATCAAAGAAAGTTCTGCTAATTCTTGATAATCCTTTCTTGATTTACCATCCTAAAAATAAAGGATTTTTTATATTTATGATTATGATTTATTTAATTATGATTGTGTATACAGATTGTTTAAATTATTTTAAGCAAGCTACTACAAAACTGTAATTAACCTTTTTGTAGATCCTATTATCTATTGCATCTCTGTAGAATTTTTCAGCTTCAAGATGTTGTTTATTTATCCAAGCTCCATTTGGAGTTTCAATCCTCTTCAATGTAACAATGTCTTTTTCAAGATCATTCCAGACAGATTTCAGGTGTTTAAAAAGCTGGTTTTCTGGACCATGCCTTTCCAATATATGATGTCTACAGGCAAAGAAAAGTAGTGGCCTTCCCAGCTTATTGGCCATTCTTGTTATAACTCCTTGGTGCTTTCCAGTGTTGGAAGCTGTAGTATCAAAGCATATACACTGTATATGATGACTAAGACCAAAAGAATCTAATAGATTATAAACTGCTTTAAACTGATTTTCCCCAGAACCTGGCTCAATATGAGGAATACCTAGGAGCTCAGTTTTCCCATTCACTTTCACTAGTACTGCTAATCTTTCTCTTGTAGCTGAAACTTTATCTGTGTATTCTTTAAATATTTTCCCGTCAAAGTGAACAGAAATCAGCTTATATTTGGAGTCAGTCAAGTCTTTTATATACTGTCTATGTTTTTGAGCTTCCGAATTTATTACTTTATCTATAGCTCGAAGAGATGATGATTTGGACACAACAAATTTATTTGTTTTTCTCCTCCTAAAATTGCTATAACACTGCTTATGATAGCAGTGTGCTGATTGATAGAAAGACCTTTTCCTACAGCAGTTAGTGCTGTACGCTTTAAAATATCTTTAGGCAGTAATAAACTTTGCTCTTCTTCATGAGAATCGTCATTTGACTCACTTGTAACAGACTCGAGGCATTCTGAGCTTAAAGAAAAATCACTAACATCACCTTCTGAGCTATAAGTTGCATCTAAATCTCCTATTTTCTCTGATGATTCACTTTTAATTTTTTTTTTTTCAGATCTTTTTGCAGACTTTTTGAAGCAAGTATCAGAAATGCCTAGACAACCTTGTCTTTTTTCCTTCTGCATTTTCAAGAACATAATGTCCATACATTTACTTTCTTCAGTTCTTTTTCTATCCTTTTTTATTTCATCAATCATGATTTGTATGTCATGTCCTAACCAGAATACCCTTTTAGATTCTATTAAGAAGTTCTCTCTATCTTTTATTGCTCCTGGTGTTGATCTGTTTCTTAGCGATTGTAGCTTTTTATATTATCTATAATATTATTAATTAATATTAATAATATTAATTAATAATATTATTATTATATAATAATAATATTATTAATTAATATTATTTAATAATATTAATTAATAATATTATTATTATATTATTATTTATCCACCAAGTTCCCATAAAACTTTCAGCTTAGATATAACACAGCAGTTCTCTCCCGAATCTGGACAATTTGTTGTAAATGTAGAACCTTTGTTTGGACAAACTAAGTTTTTGAGAGAAGTTGATGGTTTGGACTCACGTAAGTAAAGATAATACTGTATAACTTCTTCTACAGTTGCAAATTGAATAGATGATAGAGTCTTTCTAGTTTTTATTTCTAGTTTTTATTTTATTTTTCATTTTTTTAAGAATTTTTGGCATAATTTTTTATTTTACTTTTTATTTTATGTGAATAAATTATAATAAAATTGATTTTTATTTTAAAATAAACACTTTACCAACATTAATAAGTTTTGTTTAATGTTATTAAAATAGCAGATGTTGAACATTGAGTATGATTATTACATTTGAACAATAAGATCATACCGCTGTCATTGAAATAGTTGCGTGTATAGAAAATTCATTAGATTTGAAAAAAAAATTGTTCTTAGGTATTTTTAAAGGACATTTTTTAAGTTTTCAGAAAATAAGTTGAGTTAGAGTGCCTTTTTATTTTTTTTGTATAGGTCCTTGCAAGAATATGTAAAAAAAATAATTTGAATTTAATAATGCTTAAGGGTGGCACACGGGGGTCGAAAAACGTCAGAAAAGGGTAAAAAAAAGTACTTTTGGGCCGTGTGCCACCCTTAAACTTCAAAAAAAAAAAAAAAAAAAACCTATATATAAAACAAAGTGCACCTTATTAACATCCACTCTAGTCGTGAGAATTTTTTGACCTAAATTTGAGCCACCCTAAGCTTTATATAAGTTTATTTGAACC